GTGAAGGGAGGGGGCAGTGAGTAATGGAATTGTGCTTAGAGGGATGTGGTGTATTTTGTCCCGTCGCAATGCACGGACATGTTTACTAGTAGTACTGATAAGGCCTTTCACTGTTCCACATTGATAAAAAGATAGCACACAAATAGAACAAATGTAGTGTACGAGTTTTCAAAGTCATAAAACCTTGATTGGAGCGGCATTTTAGGCTCTCGGTAGCTGGACAGCTAACATGCTATGAACACACACTATCCAGGTATCACTCGTCGGTACCTTGTGTGGCGCCCACCTGGAAACGCTTGGCCAGATCGCGGATGTTGGCGTGCGACGAGCCCCCCTCCCGCATGGCCGCCCTCGCTTTCACCGCGAGCGCACGGGCCTTGCAGCGCCTCTCCTCGCCATCCTCCCCGCCGTCCATGGCGCTCCTCACCGCGGCCTCCACCGTCTCGCTCCCAACCACGACATCCTTCTGATCCATCCGGTACATCACTGGCTCCTTCACCCCGACGCTGACGCCGATCCCCAGCACCTCCACCGCCATCTTCTCGTTCAGGAACTGGTCCGTGAAGTGCGGCCACGTCACCACCGGCAGCCCCGCCGCGACCGCCTCCAGCGTCGAGTTCCAGCCGCAGTGCGTCACGAACGCGCCCGCCGCGCGGTGCGACAGGATCAGCGCCTGCGGCGCCCACCCCCAGATGAGCAGGCCACGCCCCGCGACGCGCTCCTCGAGCCCGCGGAGGAAGGCGAGCGCTGCCTCGTCGTGGCGGCCGGCGTCCTTGACCACCCAGATGAAAGGGTAGCCCGACGCCTCCAGTCCCAGGCCGAGCTCCGAGAGCTGCTTCGGGTCCGCGTGCGCGATGCTGCCGAAGCTGACGTAGACCACGGAGCCGGGCTCCCTGTCGTCGAGCCACCGGACGCAATCATCGGCGTCGATGTCCGCGGTGTTCCCTCTCGCCGCCAGCGTTGCGGCGTGCTGGTGGTAGAGGGAGACCGGCCCCACGGTCCACACCTTCATCGCCCTCGCGGCCGCGTAGCCGGCGATGTACTCGGGCTCCATCTTCACGAAGGTGTTCATGATGACGCCGTCGGCCTCGGCCCGCGCGCGCTCTACGTCGTCGCCGAACTTCTCCCAGCCGGGCCAGCCCCGGAAGAATCCGGGGGCCTGCTCCCTCGTCACCTCGAACCGCTTCTCCAGCCCCGGCACGACGACCGGCTGGTTGTAGTCGAGCACGCCGTCGTAGGCGTTGAACCTCTCAACGTTGTGCTGCGTTGAGAGGTTCAACGTCGTCGACTAAACGTCCGCAGAAGGCGCACATGCTGAAGAAGGTGAGCCGGGGGACCCCGAGGCTGGCCGCGAGCTCCACGGTCCACGGGTGGCAGAAGTCGGACACGATGCATGTTGGTGGCCGAGGCGCGTGCTCGCGGAGGTGGGCCTCGATCGGCTCCCGGAGGAGCGCGACGGCGTTGAAGTAGGCCAGCATGTACTCCGGGGGGACGTTGTCCATGTTGTCCGCTCCGCCTGGAATCCCGTCGGGCAGGCCGACCGCGGCGTAGTCGAGCGGGAAGTCGACGAGGCTGACTGGCAGGCCGGACCGCCGGGCGGATTCAACGGTGGGGCGCACCCGCGCCGCCGTGGACGGCGTGGCGACAATGGTGCAGAGCGCGCCGTGAGTGGCCAGCAGCAGCGCGGTGTCGACGGCGGGGATGATGTGCCCCTGGGCCATAAGCGGGACGAACACGAAGTGCGCCGCCTCCGCCTTCACTTCTTCGTCGACTAGGTTGGTCATTGTGGGCTCCTCGCAGATCGGATCCGATGAGAGGAGGCTAGCTAGCTAGGCAGAGTCAGCAAGTGATTTAAAGCACGTCGACAGATCCAAGCCGGCAGAGGCCGCGTCTTTGTGTTGATTTGGTGGCGTCGACACCCAAGCCGGCAGTGGCAAGCCGGCCAGCGTCGTGGGTGCGTGGCGTCAGGATTGACGCACCGTGAAGGATGCGAACATCAGTACATTGCGTCAGGATTGACGCACCGTGAGAATGAGGAGCCTAATATCCAAGATTAGATGCTGATCCTTTATTTTTTGAGGGAAGATTAGATGCTGATCTTACTCATCCATAGTCTGAATTTTGTCATGTCACTGACAATGTGGAGAAGACTACCAATGGCACCTCGAGATCTGCGCTCTGCATAGTCATTTGACTAACATCGCTAATCGTGTACACTACTTTCTTTAGTTATTTTTTCTAAAGAAAGGCTCTCGTTAGTTTGGGAGGTGCATTTTACAATCATTAGCATAATGATAACTTCAACGTTGTGCATCAAAATGTTCCTAAATGTCCGCACTGCATGGTTCAAACATGGGTGTGGCTATGTCTCAGTCGATTAAAACTTAAAGTCTCAGTCAAGTGTTATAGTATAAGAAGAAAAAGGAAAAAATAAAAATAAAATTTCTTTATGAATCTCCATGCAAGAGAGAAGGAATATAGCATCGACTGAGACATAACGAACGACTGAGACTTAGCAAAACTATTCAAACATTTTTCCTATCCACGTGCACTAAACGTCCGCGGTCTGGGTACCCGAATTACGCCAGGGCACTGCCGCCAAGCATATGTTGTCCCCAGCAACAAGCAAGACCGGCGACGCTGCTTGCGTTGTCGCGTCCATGTCGTGTTGCAAGCTCCAGACCGCGCATGGTGAACCGGCCTTTCTGCCATGCTGGCACCGGCGGCAAAATTTGCTGGACCCGACGTCATGATTTGCTGCACACCTGGCAGCACCCATGCATCCCGCAGGCAACATTTTTGCTGCAACTGATGATCTGTATTGCTGGAGTCGAACATTTTTTTTTTGCTAGAACCGGAGAGCGAGGATGCTACAAACAGCGGCACCATGCATCCCGTCGGTGATGTTTTTGTTGCAACCGCTGATCTGAATTGCTGAAAGAAGGGGTTTTTTTTGCTGGAACCGGCAGATTCTTTTAGCTGCGGTCGTGGTGTGTTGCGGCCGTCGGAGCAGGATAGTTGAACCAGTGCGAGGAATGCTACAACCATGAAGATGTTGGAACCGACGACTCGCTGTGCTGCGTCTGGGCAGCCAACGGCGTAGAAAAGCGACAAGTTTTGCTTGGACGGGCGATTGTTTTGCTCAAAACAGCAAATGTTTTTGCTGCTGCTGGCGTATACTCGAGTTTTTTGTTGCCGAGTTTTTTGTTGGACATGGTGGTGCAAGAACGGCAGCTATGCCAACCCATAAGTTAGAGACAACCTGTGGTTGGATGATTAGAGGGTCAATGGTATCCCAGCCCGCTAGAGTTCAAGTCCTAGTGCTTATTCCTGAATTTATTTCAGGATTTCCGACAATGTGCTTTTAGTGGGAGGAGACGTTTCCGTCGACGACTAGGGGTGTGCGTGTGTGCATTTATAGGGGTAAGTGTATGCGCATATATATGAGTGCTTTCATTTGTACCGTGTCAAAGAGAAAAAGTTGGAGCCACGTGCTGCAATTCTGGCATACACGTGCCGGCGTACTGGAAGCGCTCGGGACGAAGAGAAGACGCCAGATCTGAACGGTTGGAAGAAGTTTCATCGTACGGCCAAGGCACATCTGGCGACCGCTTAGCCACCCGGAGGACCGAGTCACCATCGACATCTTCATTGCAGATCTTCGGGTGATGGCTCTCCGCTTGGCGCCCCTGCTTCCTCCACCTCCATCTGAGCCGGATTAAGCGCTTGATACCGCAAGGCCACTTCGGGCGCCCCCCTTGGCATGTGCTACATTTTTCCTTTCGTTTAGGGCTTGTTGAGCTATGCCCTCAGCATAACCCTATTGTACTTTGTTTCTTTGCTACCGGTGTGTGTGGTGTGAACCTCTATGTTGGATCTTCGTGGCTCTGGTGGTTTGCATTATATATAAAGCAGGGCGATCGCCTTTTACGATAAGATGCTGGAACTGACGAGTCGTTGTGTTGCGTCCGAGCGACCAGCGGTGTAGAAAGTGGTAAGTTCTGCTTGGACCGGCGATTGTTTTTGCTGCCGCCAGCGTATAGTTGAGTTTTTTGTTGCTGAGTTTTTCGTTGGACACGGTGGTGCAAGAACGGCGGCGAGCCGGAGACGGTGACGCTGGGGATGCCAGCAACCACGGTGACCACATGTTCAAACCGTCCGATGGGGGATCTGCAATCGCCAAAGGCAGAAGTTGGAGCCACGCGCTGCAATTCATGCTGGAGCCGTTCAGGACGAAGAGAAGGCGCCAAAACTGAACGGTTGGGAGTCGCTTCATCGTACGGCCAAGGCACGACCGGCCGGATTTTTTGGTCGGCCGGCCGGGCGCCTAGCGCTGGCCTTTACCTTATTATCAGTTGGCCTGTTCGGGCGCCTCGTCGCCACACACAGTTTACCTGCGCCAGCAATGGATCCAGCCACCAAACTGCGATTCGACTCGCCGCTCCTCCGCGTCTACGAGGACGGCCGAGTGGAGCGTCTCTTCGGCACAGAAACCACCCCGCCGGGCGTCGATGCTGCCACCGGCGTCACCTCCAAGGACGTCGTCATCGACGCCGCCACCGGCGTCTTCGCCCGCCTCTACGTCCCCGACCTCGTCGCCGCCGGCTCCGATTCCCAGCGCAAGAAGCTCCCGATCCTCGTGTACTTCCACGGCGGCGGCCTGGTCCTCGACTCGGCCGCCTCTCCGACGTACCACAGGTACCTCAACTCCGTCGCCTCCAAGGCCGGCGTCCTGGCCGTGTCGGTCAACTACCGCCTCGCGCCAGAGCACCCGGTTCCCGCGGCCTACGACGATTCCTGGGCGGCGCTCAGCTGGGCCGCGTCGAGGGATGACCCCTGGCTTTCGGAGCACGGCGACGCCGGCAGAATCTTCTTGGCCGGCGACAGCGGAGGCGCGAACATCGTCCACAACATAGCAATCATGGCCGGCACCCGGGACGGTTTGCCCCCAGGAGTAGAGATTGAGGGGGCGATCATATTCCATCCTATGTTTGGTGGTAAGGAGCCACTGGACGGCGAGGCCATGGACACGAGGGCGATCACGGAGAAGCTTTGGCCCATAATATGCCCGGAAGCAGACGGGATGGACGACCCGAGGTTGAACCCGTTGGCTCGTGGAGCGCCGAGCCTGCAGAGGCTGGCCTGCCGGAGGCTGCTTGTCTGCTCGGCCGACGGAGATTTCGCGCTGCCGAGGGCCGCGGCGTACTACCAGGCAGTGAAGGCCAGCGGGTGGCCCGGCACGGTGGAGTGGCTGGAGTCCAAGGGAGGAGAGCACGTGTTCTTCCTCAGCAAGCCGGAGTGTGATCTGGCTCTGCAACTGATGGACATGGTGGTCGCCTTCCTCGCCGGCAATTGATTCAGAGGACACTCGCGTGCTCAGTGTGTTCCCCTTCGGATTGCAAGTGTAACCAGAACTCAAAGCACACTTGTATTTGTGAATTCAGAACCATTGAAAATAAAGGACAACATTATTTGCTCCTCAGCCTCTGTTACTGAATCATTCGCCGGCGAACAAGAGAAAACAGACTCAACAGCGCCTGACGAAGTCAGCCACGACGGCGAGCTCCTTGGCGGCGTTGTCGCAGTCGGGCTTGAGCAAGAAGTAGACATGCCCGTCGCCCTTGGTCTCGTAGAACTCGAGCTCGCCGCCCCACCCGCACGCCTTGACCCCCGCCGCGTAGGCGCGCGACCTCTCCACGAACCAGCAGTGTTCCGCCGTGGCGACCAGCACACGGCCGCACCCGAGCTGGCTCAACTCCTCCGGCGACGCCGCGGGGTTGATGTACGGGTGGTCGAGGCCGAGCTTACCTCCGCAGGCGACATGCCATACCTGGTCAATGCCGCCGCGGAGGGCGCCGTCGGTGGGCTCCCCGCCGACCGGCTCTTTTCCCCAGAAGTAGGAGTGCAGGAGCGCGATGCCGCTGACCTTATCGCCGTACCCCTCGATGCGTTCCTTCCGCAGCCTGGCCGCCGTGCGGTGCGCCATGTTGGCGCCGGCGCTGTCGCCGGCGAGGACGACGCGGGACGCGTCGCCGTGCGCCGCGAGCCAGGGCTCGGCGCCGCGTGGCCGGCAGGAGGAGACGACGGCCTTGAGGGCCGCGAAGGCGTCCTCGTAGGCGGCCGGAACAGGGTGCTCCGGGGCGAGGCGGTAGTCAACGGAGACGACGATAGCGGGGACCGCGGCGGCGAGGGAGGCGGCGTACTTGTGGTAGAGCGGGGAGGCAGCAGTGTAGATCATGAACGCGCCGCCGTGGAAGAACACGACCACAGGGAGCTTCTTGCCGGGCACCGCGGCGGCGGCGGCGGGGAGGTAGACGCGAGCAGCGATGTTTGCCGCGGGGTCGAGGACGACGTCCTTGGAGGCGACGCCGTTGGCTGTGTCACCGGACGGCGAGGGCGGCACGGTCTCGGTGCCGTTCAAGCGCACGACGCGGCCGCTCTTGTGCACACGCACGACGCCGGGTATCTCGTACTCGATCTCGGAGCCGGGGTCGTCCATGGCTGGGGTTGCGGCAGGCGGCAGTGAGCTTTGGCTCGGCGTCGCGGCGCTGGGGCCGTGATCCGAATCTGCAAGAGCAAAGCGGCAAGCGGGGCGACAAAGAACACAGGCACAGCGCTGCACCACCCGTCGCCGCGTTCACCGATTGCTGCCTACTTAGGGCATGGCCAATGCTCCACGCTGGACAGCTGCTCCGCCCGTCCACGTTGGAGAATCATCTGCCGTGGAGAATCGAGTTAAAAAGACTACTGCCTGCAGACCCAAACGACCTCTTGCAGAGAAGGT